ATACCAGCAACTGTTGCGATTAGGTGAAGATGCCAGCAGAGTCTGTGAAGAAGAGTCGTATTTGGCACAATATTTGTAATTTAATTACTCTGCATTTATTTCAAAAGTGTGCAGAAAGAATTCGAAAAAGTTAAAGATGGAAAAAACAGCAGAATTTATTGCTGCCATGAAATTTTGGAAGGGATCTTTTGCTATGAGAGGAAACAACTGAAGAGCTGCATGGATCCAATAAGTCCTGTTGTTTCATGTCATCCTTATATTTGCACTTTGGAAACGTTGCTTTTAATTCAAAAACGTTTCAAACACAAGCCGCTATATCCGGTTTGCGAATTTAAAATGCTACACTGTAACTGATTCTGAATAAAAGATATAATTTTACACTAACATTAATAACATCCAACTAATCTATGTTATTTGTCAGAATTTAAGCGTGCTTCATTGTATTCCATTGAGTTCATTCATAAGCAACTTCTGTCACGGCTTTATGTCATTCTACTTAAAATATGAACGATATTAGGCAAACTCAGATATGCGCTCGCTATCGTATCTCCTAATAATACATCAATATTTTTATTTACCCACCAGTTTTCCAAATACGCAACCTTGTGAAAACCTACCTTTCAGAAAAGTCAATGCCAAGAACATCGGGGTAACGCGTAGCTTCTATAGGCAATCGCTTCCCGAACAGTGTAACAGTGAAACAGTTTGACTACAAACTTTCCCCGGATATCAAACAATAGACTGGTTACCATTATGCGGATTTTTTTCTAAGGCTTGACGTAAATTTTGCATTTTATCAGCTAAAAATTATGTGAGGGTTTTTGTTCTTATGTCTTGCTATATTTTAAATGCACCTTCAGTTTTTTAAATTTAAGTCCATTCAGTTGAGACATTTTTTATCATACTTCTTGACAAAACTGCTGCTTTATTTTAGAACTGCCATTGCTAAAAAAAGGAAATATTGCACATGCATTTTGCGATGGAAGGTAACTAAAGATTTTTGCTTTTCAGCCGGGCGTTTAAGCCAGTTGGACACTTTTCTAAGCTACTAGGGTCGGATCACTTAGTAAATTGCGCGGTTGTTTAAAAATATCACCGATGATTAATCCACATGGCCATCTAATGATCATGAGTAATCGACTACTAACCAACCCGTGTTTTCCCACGTTAAATAAACCAACCCTTATAAAAAGTGTAAGTAATAGGTATTTTGGTACATTTACTGAATTTACGTAATCTTATAAAGAATGCTTCTGCAGCCGTCATGGGGTTCGAGCCCATAACTGTGTCCAGTGCACAGTGAAACCGTCTGAATTATGAGCGTCTGACGGAAAGCCGTGAGGTGACACGAGTTTGGGTCATGTAACTTACTCGGCCTTCTAAAAAAGATGAAATCAACCTATTCTGGTGCAATTAGCGGATGGTTTAGATGAGAATGCTCATCGATCAGAAGTCTACTGAGTTCAAATGAATTTTAAAAAATCTCCCAAACTACCTATTAATTAACTGAGCCTGCTTATAATTCCATGGGTCTTATGTTGACTGCTCCGTAAATCCTGCTAGGGTAGTCAGCTTACTGCGCCAGATTTTCCCATTTTCATACGTCGCAGTGAGGTGTGCAGGTCACTTCTCCCAGATGTAATTTAGCTCACTGCTCGAGGTAAGGAATTCTTGAATCAGTTGCTTAGAGTATTCGCTTTATTCAACACTTCTTTTTTGTCATGGAATCAATAAGGTTGCCAAGTTTTCCACATGGGCGTAAATTAAAAGACTAAATAAGGATTAGTTAGTGCTGCGTGTCTTTTTGGAAGAATAGCTAGATGTTTAATTTCTTGCAAAATCCTGCGTTTTTACCGTCTTATAGTAATTTGTATTTGGAATAGATCTATATGCATACGTTCACATATACAGCTGTGTCAAAACCTTCAAGGAGTGTTTTGGCATAGTTATAAAAGTACTCACATAAACCCTCCTAAAACCAAACAATTAATTTTCAATCAAAGAAAATCGGGACAGGCGAGTGAAAGGAATCAAATTCAGGTTTAAAAATGGTTTTGACATAAAACAATGTAATGAAATTATTTTGGCCTTATTTGCTTTTACCCCATCTCGGTTTGGGAGCCGAAACAAAAACCATAACCTTTGCCGCGGCGAGGACGCCCACAGCAATTTATAGTAAATGCACAGCATACGTATAGATACCCATATATGTAACATAGATTTTGCTCATAGTTGAAGGTTTGCTGTTTTCGCAAAATCGTGCAAAGAATAAAGATATTTTTTTCATTTCCAGTCGAATTTTTATC